TAGTTAAGAATAATTTCTAAAATAATAATTAATGAATAATATTTCTTGATGTAATTAAAGAATAATCGTTCGATTTAATTCCCGCAGAATTACTGCGATAAAAACGAAACAGGTTGCGCTCTAAAAACACAGAAAATAAACAAGTAAAGCATAAAACCTCGTTCTGAGTCAGGCGACAAATGCTTTGCTCGTGGTTTACATTATTACCTTACTCGACGCTGAATTTTTCTATCCGAAGATTTTTAGTATGCTATATTTAAAAAACGAATTATAATATGGCCATGTAAGTATATCTATAGTTATACTTATTACATACATACAAATGTATAAATTTTCGAGCCTCTTAAATTTCGTTTGTAAGATATAATGATTAACACTTAATTACAACAAAGTGCAAACCTCTATACCTCTTATCTAATTATATAGAATTTGTTTAAACAAATATTATTCAAAAACTAAACGATAATACGACTTGCAATTTGTATTGTTTTATAAAGCCTTGATTTAATTATATCAGAAATAGGTGAAAGTTTGAGAGAAGATCGCATTTCTTAATTTTCTTATCTGGATTTGAAATTAACATATTGAATAAGTTAACTATTTATATGAGGTTAGAAGAACATGATGAAAATTTTAGCGAAATTAGTTATCATAGTTATGAGCTATAATTAGGTAAATCTGTGAAAACTGCAATTTTGACATGTTTCGATGCTTGTCGCTTCTTTCGGCACCGACCGATTTCAATAAATTTTTACCGTGTCTTAATTTCACATGGACGGTCAGACAGTCTTATTCAAATTTTGATTATAAACCCAAATGAAAAAGTGAATAAAAGCGACCTTCACTTTCTTCCTCCCAATTTCTACAAATTTCAATTTCTTCGACATTTCGTTTAAACATAATCCACGGAACTGATAATAAAGTCTTTCAATTTTAAAGAGCGTTGTTTCACACATGTTTGCTATTTATGGTATGTACGAAGAGCAAAAATTCGTTACACATTTAAAAACTTGTTTTTAATTAAATAATTTTATATGGGACTTACCAAAAAGAGAAGACAATCCACTCCATAAACAGCAATCTACCGATTTTCTTTCACTTCTACACGACGGTTTGTTCACCTGACCGAACAATGGCAAAAGCAGTCAGTTGGCTTTGGCTTGCGTTACTAAACAGAACGATACGTGTCCTAACGAACACGGAATATTCTAATATGTGGCAGTGAATTTGGAAAGTGTAAAAGTGACAATTTTTGTTTTGTGAAAATATGTCAATGGGAAAGTGACGATAAGGAACGAATCGGCAGGTCTCTGACTTGCTCCAAGCATCAGCTGCTGCGGACCCTGTGTTTCTGTCTTCGAGTACCGAAGGTCGACCCATTGACCCATTCACGTTCTCTAGGAGCAGGTGCACTTACCAACGAAGAAGTAAGTCCAATTCTGATTCTTTTCGCATTTTTGATAATTTTATCTATTCTGTAACTTGAAAAGTTGTTTGTTATTTCATTGAGCATGTTACATTTGTTCAGTGAACGTAAGTAACGACTAATCCCTTTCTTTCTTCTGATATTTAACCAATTTGTTAGTTCGTTTCTGCATGCTACATTTCTTTAATCCTATGCTCTCGTCACAGCAATGCACGAGGCGGTTGTCGCACTCCTGCCCGCCTTGTATACTCGCGCTCTGATTGGGCGGGGATTTTTGTTAATAACTCAATAACCACGCCTCGGACAACTTTTTCGCAAAGGAAAAAGTTGTTTAAAATCACCTCAAGAACCTCCCATTAAAATATGTACCACTAGTCCTGGGACACCCTGTATATTAGACGAAGTAATAAGATCAGTCTTACACGCAGGATTGAACTTACGCACTATTGTCTGTGATCAAGGCACAAATAATCAGACGGCCATTAAAATGAAACTTTCTGGCGGAAATCCGTATTTCATGCATGGAAATCGAAAGATTTACGCAATTTTCGACATACCCCACATTTACAAGTCCATAAGGAATCAACTTTTGCAATACAATATCCTTTATGATACAAATAGAATTGCATCGTGGGAAGATGTCCGAGCCTTATGGCAATTAGAAGACGGTCAAGCAACGAGACCTGCTTGCAAATTATCCGATCAGCATGTAAATCCCAATTGCTTTCAGCGAATGAAATGTCGCCTTGCATTGCAAGTTTTTAGTCGCAGAGTTTCAGCGGCTCTTTTGACTGCTGAAGCGGTTGGAGGAATCAAAAGTTCAACAATAATGCACACTGCTGAATTTTTTACAATTTTAAACGATACTTTTGATTCCTTAAACAGCAGAACTTGCAATGACGCGAATCCCAATAAATGTGCTTTGTCAGAAATTCGAGTCACTGCTGAAGAAAATTTGAAAAAATTATTCAATGCATGTTCGAAGTGGCGAACTCTTACGAACAAGGGGCCGAAAATACCGCCGTGTTTCGAAGGCTTACAAATTTCTGTCAAAGCCATTTTGCAATTATGGGACGATCTGAAAAGCGATGGGATTAAATTTCTCATGACATCGCGATTAAATCAGGATCCGTTAGAAAATTTATTTTCGATGATACGGACTTACGGTGGAACGTACAACCTGAATCCGTCCGCGAAAGGTTTTCGTACGATTCTACAAAAAAATATTATTTTGAATTTAAATAAACCGCCTCAGTCAGGAAATTGTTTGGACGACGAAGATGTTGTTCTACTTGAAGAACATGCAAATACTTCTGCATCTTCCGGTGAGACAGCATCAGCATCAACTTCTCAAAGCGCGATAAACGATCTTGACAATTGCGTTGGCAATGCGTTTATCGACGTTGAAGAAATTGTTATTGATGAATCATTTGCCAACGATTTAAGATTAGAAGCTAATGCCGTCGAATATTTTGCGGGATATGTGCTCAAAAGATGCATTGCCAAATCCCGTTGCGAGCAATGTTCGACATGTTTCATCAGCGGCAATCATGTGACAGTAGACGATAGACAAATATTGTTGTTCTTCAGAGCATATGAAACAAATGATGGAGCTTTATTGGGGCATTTGAATGCTCCTACTCCAGAATTTTCATTTGTATTCAAAGTGATGAACGCAATATTTGATCAAGGATACCCTCGCATCAGAGGAAATTATAATATACAAGATAGTTTATTTACATACATGGTCGCCGCTGTTAATATGCAATATCCCGGTTGGTTTGAACATGAAACTTGTAGTTCCCATCGGAAAGATATTGCATATTACATGATGAAAGTTAAGATTCACAAAGATCTACATTGGCTAGGTCAGAAAGTAAGGACCAGCAATTATGGTCGCAAGCCTGTACAAAAATTGAAAAATGTACAAGGCTTATAAAATATTTACTACAGTCAGAGGCGAACTAACGTGAGCTGACAATTTGCAATGCACACAGTCAGAGGCGAACTAACGTGAGCTGACAATTTGCAATGCACGTAATCAGAGGCGAACTAACGTGAGCTGATAAAAAGTGGTATAATAGGGCTACAGGCGAAAGATCCACTTCAAAAAATCTAACGCGCCTTTAGTGGAACCTCAAAGGTGGTGTGGAAGACCACTATGTACTACTTAATTTAAATAATGTAACGTGTTACATGTATTTATATTACATACACGTACATACATTACTTTTCAAATTTCCAATTCGGTTCAATACATCCCTTGCCAAAGAAATATCTCCCTCCAAAGTGTCTAGCAACACCCCCGTAAAGAAACCTGCATAGGGTGGGGGAATAGGACCCTTACCTGCGGGGTGCTTTTCCCAATGGTCATTCACTCGTTCCACAGCGCTGAAGGAAAAGACGAGTAGCAGTACCTTTCAGAAGAGACAAGAACTGTACAACTGTGAAAAATGTTTCGGTGGATTGTAAACAAGTTTAAACGTAAGTATTTTCACATATGCATGACATTCATTTTCACGTGAAAAGAGTAATATACTTTTGCCGAGAATAAATGTTTTGTCACACAATGCTAAAATTATTGGTAATTTTTACAGGTGGCGAGGACCAGCAGACTTGGACCGCGGAGGAACTGGCCGCGGAGGAATGGGCCGCGGAGGAAAGGGCCGCGGAACAACGCGCCGCGGAGGAAAGGGCCGCGAAGCAGTGGGCCGCGCAAGAGTGGGCCGCGCAAGAATGGGCCGCGCAAGAATGGGCCGCGCAAGAACGGGCCGCGCAAGAACGGGCCGCGCAAGAACGGGCCGCGGAGGAAAGGGCCGCGGAACAACGCGCCGCGGAAGAAAGGGCCGCGGAACAACGCGCCGCGGAGGAAAGGGCCGCAGATGCCGCCAAAAAGGAGGAAAAAGTAAGTTTGAATGCGTCAAAATTAAAAATTATTATATTAAAAGTACGTGTTTGTGTGCGTGGACGCGATGTTCAGCCGCGGAAGTGGAAGGTAATCGCTCACAGTAGACGTTTTACGGTTACGTCGAGACGCGTTCATCTAACGCTGCGGAGAAATCCTACCTATAACGCGTTTGTTCATTGAAATATTGTCTACGTTCGACTCTTTCCTCCCACACTATAAGGGTTTTCTATTCCTAGGTATACATTCTCTGTTACATTCGTCATAATTACTTTCTTCATTGATTCATCTTCGGAAATCTTTATTCTTCACTGCTTTCTTCGGAAATCATTTTTCAGTTACACACAATGTCCTAAAACTTCTCGTACATTTTTGAATAGGAGGTTCTTGAGGTAATTGTAAATAATATTTTTCTTTGTCAAAATGTTGTCCGAGATGTGATTATCGATTTATTAATACTTAAACAAGCCCACGGTTTCATGAGAAAACTTCGCGGAGGACCGGCGTTTTCTCTTCAATGAAATTATTATTTTTGATTGGTCGCGGATTTTTGTTAGTAACAACCGCGCCTCGGACAACGTTATGACGAAGGAAAATATTGTTTACAATTACTTCAGGAACCTCCCATTTAAAAATGTGTCACAAGTTCTGGGATACCCTGTATACTGTACAGTACTCTTTCGAAGATTAATAATGAAATTACGTATTCATTTCAGAAAAAGAAAGAGGCCATGAGGCGGATTAGAAATAAAATGAAGAAGAAGGAGGGTAGGAGATTACGGGCCCAACAGCGGCCGTGGATGGCCAGAGACCAATCTTCACCAACAGCAATCATACATGCCATTAAACGTGCCACTACATATGCACGTGCCAATACAATGTTGCCGGCAATGGCAACCACTACAGAATTGCCTGCATGTGTGTTGCACACAGCCACTGTCGCAGCAGCACACATGCAGCTGCAACGGACAAACCTATTTTTACAATTAAGAAAATATTATCTTCGTCTTTCGTACATATAGTCTTCATTATATTATATTATCTTTATTTTTTATTTTATACATTTATTCTTTAGCATATTATATTATCTTTATTTTTTATTTTGTACATTTATTCTTTAACATATTATATTATCTTTATTTTTTATTTTGTACATTTATTCTTTATCGTATTATATTATCTTTATTTTTTATTTTGTACGTTTATCCTTTATCGTATTATATTATCTTTATTTTTTATTTTGTACATTTATCCTCTACTATATAGATAATAAATGTTTTATAAATGTGTAAAATCACATACATTACAGTGTTTTAATCGTAATCTCCTTCTTCTGATAACCTCTTCCTTCTTGATTGTTTGAATAACGAATCTTGTCAGTTAGGAAAACAAAAATATTGAAATAAAGAGGAAGAAAAAAAATTTACAATTATACATTTCATCATTTTACACATCTAAATTATGTACATTTACATATACATTTCATTTCATTCATATTCTATACAATTACGAAAAAGTAACACGGAATATCCAAGTAAACAACATTGTATGAAACGGTTTCAGATTTTGTTATACACAATGCTTCGTTACATAGTGCAAACACAGCTTAAGGAGGCCACGTTTTTAAATTAGCAAAATTCCATTAAATATATGTATATCTGTACAATAAAGAGTAAAACTGCACTTTTCTTTAAATATAACAAATTGTAAGTAACTCGAATTTATTTTTAGCCATTAGGTGGATTAGCTTG